ATGCTCAACAAGGAAGACCAGCTGCTGATTACTCCAGAGACATGGTTGCCACTGTTGTGCACTGGTGCATTTTGCAAGGTCAACTGTTACTGTAGTTTGCAATAGTACACAGCTGGGTAAGGCCTGTGATGACTTTTCTTCATGAGGGTACATGCAGAATGTACCAACACTAGGAAGAAGCTTCCAGGGTGATGTGATACCAGCTTATTTCTCTTGTTCTATCACATAACATCAGGTTCTTTGGGTAACCAGGAGCAATGGCAATAACCTACAACTTTGGGGGGAATCTATGGACCCCCCTCTGATCAACAACTTAAAAAGTAGTCTGTCTGACAGTGGGCTTTTAATTTTGGCAACCTATGGTATCTAGAACTGGTATAACCTCTTTGTAGGTTAATTCAATTTATATCCTACATTTTCTCTGTGTGTCTATGTGTGTGTGCCTGTATCTTGGTCACTGTTCTATTGATGTGAAGAGATACCATAATCTTAACAGAACTCTTAATGGAAGAAGCATTTAATTGGGAGCTTGCTTACAGTTCATTATCATCATGGTGGGATGCATTGTAGCATGCAGGCAGGTGTTGTTGAGGTAGATGAGAGCTCCATCATTATTCATGGTCAGAGGGAGAAGACGGGGGTACCAGAGAGAGAGAGAGAGAGAGAGAGAGAGAGAGAGAGAGGAAGGGAGGGAGAGAGAGAAGAGAGAAAGTATCTGTGTGTGTGTGTGTATGTGTGTGTGTGTGTGTGTGTGTGTGTGTGTGACAAATAAATTTTTAAAACCCCAAACTCCTCCCTACACTACTTCAAAGGTATTTTAAAGTATCATTCCTAAGGCTCCCCCCCCCCTACCCGGCCCCACCCCATTTAAGCCTTGTTCACTACTCTATGGTCCCCCCAGTTGTAACATACACCTATGGATTCAAAGCTAGCATGTGCTTATGAAGGAAAACATACAGCATTTGTCTTTCTGGACCAGGATCAAGCTTCAAAAATGGCATATATAGCTTAATCATGCTAGCCCTTTTTGTCCTGGGAATAGTTGTATTCCTGCTCATTGTGTTAAAGCTTTTCTTCAACAACATCAACATGTTGGCAGTCAAGTACATGGCTTGAACCTGAAAATGGACCCTCAGACAGAGTTATTAAAATTAACAGGCTGGCAAGCCAAGGACGGGTAAGATTCTGCACAGAGCCTTACCAACCTAAGACATAAGGGAATTGCTTTTGATAAGGCATATTCCATGATGGGTAAGGAAGGCATTCTTGTCAGAATGACCTAAGAAAGGCTCAGTCTTGTTAATGAAATAAAAAGTTGGGGAGAGAGGCAGAGAACCTTTGGGGCTGCTTGGCAAGAAGCTGACATGGGACAAGGACAAGGAAATGGGCTGTCTGGCAGGAATATGACATTGGCCAAGGACAAAGAAGTAGGCTTCAGGCAGGAATCTGACATTAGGCTAGAACAAAGAAGTAATTTCAGGCAGGAATCTAAATTTTAGGCTAGAACAAGGAAGTAGGTTTCAGACATGAAAATGACATTGGGCTAGGACAGGGAAGTAGGCTCAGATACTTTGGTCATCCTGATAACTCCTTAGAAACAGTGATCATGGGAGTGTCCAGGTAATTGGGTTTAATGTGTTGCCTTTTGTTTTTCGATTATTTGTGTTTCTTGTCTTGCTTGTTCCTTGACTATTTGTATCTATTGCATTGCTAGACCCTCAACCTAGAACTGAACTTAATACATGCATGTAATCAAAATGGTATAAAAAGCGTAAAGGAGGAGGGGGTGAGATGGAGGTTCTTGGGAGGGGAAATGGGATGACATCTGTATTGTAAATAAATAAAATATCCAATAAAAAACAAAAAATAAAAAGTATAAAAAGCTAACACCCACATCTGAGAGGAAAAAAAAAAACGGGTATGTTTGTCTTTCTTAGCCTGGGTTTCCTTAGTCAGGGTGCTTGTTGCTAGCTCTGTTCATTTACTTGTACATTCCATAATTTTATTTTTCTTAGCATCTGAATAATATTATACCATGTAGATGGACCACATTTTCATCACCCATACATCAACTGATGAACACCTTGGCTAGTTCCAATTTCAGGCTATTATGAATAGAGAAGCAATGTACACAGATGAGCAAATATCTCTCTAGTATGATGTAGAGTCCTCTGGGTGTATGTCCAAGAATGGGACAGTTGGATCTAGTTAGTACTCAACTGGAAGCCCCATGTCGGATAGCATTCATAGTGCTGGGAGATGCTACTTACACTACCAAGGAAGAAGAACAATCATAAATAGCACCCAGCTATGAATCTTGTGAGCTATCATAACAACCTGCCTTCAAGATGTGCTCACTGGTGCAGAAGTAGCATGGCTATTGGGATGGTAACAAACCACTATCTAATTGAACTAATGCTCCTTCCACAAGATGGAACCCATACATTACATTGGTAATGAGGCCTAGAACCTCAGAATGATGGTAATGAGGCCTAGAATGATGACAGGTCATAGGCCTAGGGTAACACTTACTACTATTATTCTATAAAGAAAGACAGCAGTAAGATGACATATTGCTGTACCCACAGATCGGTGCATTGTTCAATCTCATCATGGGAGCTTCCTCCTGCAGTTGGTGGTAGTTACTACCTCAACTAGACAACAAGCAGAGAGTCAGAGACATTGAAGCACTCTTAGTCTTAGTGGGATGTCTTTATCACTCTTGTTGAGAGTGAGAGGGTTGCAGGAGCCAAAGGTATTTGCTGACTCCAAGCAAACAGCACCTCCCAAGTATGAGCTCACAGAGACTGTGACAACATGGACAAGACCTGCACAGGCTCAAGCCAGACAAAAGCCCCAGCTATTAATAAGAGAAGTAGACACAAAGTCCTATCCTTAGACAAGAAGCTATGCACAGTTGATAGTTTCTAAGAGAAGAAAATCAGTTTTTTTTTTCCAGTAGAGACAATGGATATGTCAAAAATACTCTAGCACAGGCCCCAGGCTTAGAAGTTCACCAACACAAATTGGACTCCATGATTTTTAGTGAGTGTGTGTGTGTGTGTGTGTGTGTGTGTGTGTGTTTTAAGATAGAGAAGTTGGATGGGTAGTGGTAGGAAGGATATAATCAAAACCACACTGAAGCCTATTTCACCTCAGAGGCAGTGGGTACCATCAAGAAAACAAGCAAAAAATGCAGGTAAGAATATGTGACAGAAGAGCCCTCATTCATTGCTGGTAGGAATATGAGTTAATGTTGTCTATATGGAATTTTCTTTTACAACTTAAAAATACATATATAATCAAGTCACACTACTTCTGAGCATATAGTCTGAAGAATAAATGTCAGCTTATAATATAGATACCTGCATACTTCTGTTTACCACAAAATAATTTATTCTAACCAAGTTATAAACTCTACCTATGAATGGGGAAAGTATTCTATCTGTACACTATGAATCTATAAAGAAGAATGAATTTGCCGGAAAATGGAACTGAAGATCACAATGTTAAGTGTGGTTCTGGGTCCTACCCAAACTTCCCTAGGATGTATGGAATCAGTGTGGGTTGGAGAGAAGAAGAAACTAAAGGGTAGATTTCTAGTGGTATGGAGGCAAGGAGGCTTAAGAACAAAAAGAACATCTAAGCCAAGAGCGATGCAAATGCTGAGAGGAGAGAAGAAAGAGACACAAGCTCCCATCCTCAATCCTGAAGCTACCTCTAAATGATACTCTCTCTCAAAGGAAAAATTTGCTTTCTCCACAGCCTCACTTTTAACCACACTTATGGGCAGGCCCCATGCCCAACAGTGGATGGCCAACACAGAACAAACTCAATTACAGCATTGGAGGCTGTTTAATTAATTCCTTACAGGTCTTTTGCTTATATATTATGGTTTCCAATTTTGTTTTATGGGTTTTCTGTGTGTTTGTGTGTCTTGGTGCCTGTATGTATTTCTTGTTCTTTTCACTGACTCTTTTTTATTTGTTTATATCTTTAATTGTTTGGTCTTTCCTATTGTGTTTTGCTTTTGTTTTATTATTTTCATATCCCTGTTTGTATTCTAATGAAAGAGGGGATGGGGGAAGGTATGTATTTGGTTGGATGGGGATATAGGCAGGATCTGGGAGGACTTGGAAGAGGGAAAACCATAATCAGAATATATTATATGAAATAATCTATTTTTAATTGAAAAGAGAATAAAGGGATGAGTGTGACCTAAATACATTTTATTCACATTTGGAAATGTCCACGGAGCACCATTTACTTTGTACAATAATATTAAACATGTTTCAAATTTTTAAAAAAAGGACTTAAAGATTTCAAAAGTCCATAACTATTAATGTCCAAGAAACAAAACAGCTGCTACATTAAAAGGATGCTATATCTTGTTTTCTACATTTATTCTTATATATTATGGACTGAAAGAAAACAGATATCTCCTTAAACATTTGTACTAGAGATGTTAAAATTAAATAGTGTCTAGTCAGTTCTTTCTTTTCTTTCTGGTATAATGGTGGGGGATTGAATCTAGGGTCTCTGGCACCCTAGAGATGTCCTCTGTCACAATGTTACCCCAACTTATATCCATGATTATTCTGGCTTGTTGAAATTCGTCTGGCAAGTCAGGGCATACATGAAGCCTTACTTTCTATATTTTTGACATTTCTATACTTAACTCCAAAGTAAAAGACACTTGGTAATCTTATGATTTGATTAATGAATTGTTATAAGATATACCTGAAAATAGCTAGTTGCAAATGCTAGTCCCCAGCAATGATAGTTATTGAACGAGCTAAAACTTCTCAACTTTTAAAAAGACTGTCCAATACATTTTATAAACATAGTCCATGCATGCTTTAGACACTTGGTGGCTGTTGGCACTCCCCAGCACTTTTATTCACTCAAATAAAACAACGAAGTATTGTCACCAAAATGGGGTGAAAAAGCAAACATCTACTTACACAGAGATGACTTCAAAGAACATGAAGTCTGCTCACCTTGGGGTGTGACCAGAGTTCTTCCGTTCTCCTGACACCAGCCAACTGGCTGGATACAAGGACTGTTAACATCACACCTGCAAAAAAAAAAAAAAAAAAAAAAAAAAGGATTGTGTTTACATTCACAATACTCAGTGTCACAGGAAGGGTAGGCAGTGGTTCAGCTGTAAAATGTCTCCTACATGCTTACTACTCGGCGCCAACCTCACACCACTAATTGTGAAGGTTGAGGGACCTATCAGGTATGGCACATACCTGGCAGATGCAGGACCTGAGGAGTGAGCTGAACCAGTGCAGCTCATTCCATCCTGAGTGCTCAGCTTTCTGAATAACCACATAGTGTAAAAGTCAGTCTAGCTCCAAGTACCCCAGCCACAAGCTGTTCCCTCACCAAGTCCTCTTCACATTCTCAAACCCTTTGCCCAAATAATCCTTCCTCCTTCCTTAGGTTGTTCCTACTGAGATACCATCACAGTGACAGACAGGAACAGAACCAAGGGTGATGGTCACGCTGTACATAAAGAAGCCCCGTGGGAAACAGCACTTCACAGTTAGCAAATGACAGAAATAGCTTAATGGTGAGCTTTAACGTGAGTGACCAAACTGCTCATTTGTACAACTTTCCTACAATTTGAAACTGTAGAATAAATCAGAAAGGGGTCACGTGGAGCTGACACAGGTGATCCCTGAGGTAAATGTTTTAATGACTCTCTTCTGCCTGCCGGTACTACTAATAAAACCAACTATCAACAGGAAATTCCAGATGTGGACAGAACAGCTGAATCAGACCCAAGGTAGCTACGTTTTTCTTCCTTTTACTTTTCAAACGCTCTGGAGTATTCTAAGACACCTACAACCACTACTCTACTTCTGTTCCTTATTTCAAAGGAGACAGGCAGACTCCTGTCAAGCACCTGCAGAGTGCCAGCTTCATTGGGGATTTTTTCAGTGTTCAGGACTCACACAGGAAATGTGACAAAAAATGGTTTTGCCACTCCCTACTGCATATTTCAGGGTTTTATCCTGTAAGTCCTTACACCTCGCCACAGTTGGTTTCAGAGGTGTGTGGCATACATTTTTTCTCTACTTCTCACAGTCTTTCAAAGCACTCACTCCCATTTCGCCCAGAGCTTTTGTGTGGAAGACTATGTTCAACACTTTTCAGATGCCCCACCCCCCATACATACACATACAATGCAACCCTGACACTTCTCAAGTTCCTTTTCTCAAATCTATCCTCATTAAAATCAGATAAAACATGAGACCCACCCCTAACCTGTTGCCATTGCTTCACAGAAGACATCACTGAGTAACTCCACATAGGATGGGGAAAACAGAGGGCTGCTTTTTAATTCAATAATCTATGTGGAAGAGAGGCAGGGGAAAAGCCAACTGAAAACTTCTTGACGTGAGCTACAATGAAAACACTCGCAACACTGGTACAATGATTTCTGAACACTAAGTGCGGCTCTAGCAAAGTGTGTGCATCCTGACGTCTCACCAGTAATCAAAGATATCATCCCAGCTGTCAAAATGCACCCGTACTCGGTCTTCCACAATGTCTGCAACGGTTGCCACGCACATCAAGCAAGGGTTCCTCCTGTCCACAGCCTCCAGCTTCATCCCAACCTGAAACTCCTTTGGCACTGGACCATTCTAATACAGTAACAGAGTGGGGGAAAGGCACAGAATCAAACAGGTCAACCAACAGGATTGAACTACTGTGGGGTTTCAAGGTCATTTAAAAACCAAGGTTGACCCAATGCCAACTCTTACTTACCTGACTGGACAGGAAACACAACACAAAAGCTCCTACACTTGTACCAAGGACCAAGGACGCAAGCTCCCCACTGGTTTTTCATTTTACTTATATAAGATTGTCTTTCCCTTATCACCTTTATTTTAATATGTTCAGTTCTTAGAGCAATGTGAGCTGATTGTAAGACTCGATGTATACAGAATATAGTCTCATCAGACGATAAAAGGTATCCTCTACTCCCCATAGGCTAATGAGGCTTCCAAATACCACTATTTGAAGAGATAAAGATTATGCTCTTTAGCATTTAAAAATTGTTTAATTGGGTAATGGGATTCAAAAATAGTGTTTTCTCAATATTTAAAGAGTGCATTATTTTATGAAAAATTATAGCTACAAGTACAAATTATTTTAATGCCTGTTTATTTCTAACAGAACATGTAGATTATGGCTAATGTAACTCTTCCTTTCACATGAAATAGCTATAATTAGCTAGGCTTGTAGCTTTAAGATGCACACAATACCGAAGACTAGAAGAAGGTTTCATCTGTCTATCTTTTTATTATCTATACTGAAGCCTGTTATTTTTTTTAATTATCTCTAAGTAGACTTTATTTTTAAGGCAACATCATATTCTTGACAGGCTAATTTATGGGAGAGATATAATAAACACTTAACATTAATATCTAGACCAGGAAAGACAAACCTATAGAATTTCAGTAACAAGTGTACTAAGCACAGGAACCTCAGTGGGTAGGGCCTAGCCTGGACACGAGGCTCAGCCCTTCTCTGCTCTCAGCAGTGATTGGGTTTTGGGGAAAGCAAAGCAGGGGTGAAGTCTAGCCTAGGGCTGAGCACTTAAAATTCATTCTCCATTGAAGGTTCTCTGAGCTGCTTGAGATTCAGAGTCTACTCTAGCTGAACCCTGGCATAGAATCCCTGAATTTACTGAAGATGCCATAAGTAGTCTCTTCTAGCCATCCCCCCGCCACACACACACACCTAGCCTCCCTGAATCTGCCAAAACCCTTCTTTTGTATTCATTGTACTTAGACACATCTGTGATGCGCACGTGACAGAGTCTGTCTTGAGTATCTGCTAGCTTCAAAATACCAAAATTAAGCTTAGAAAACTAATTTGCTGCAAGCAAAAAGGAAAAAATAATATCCATAAAAGATATTTTAAATAAGTTTTAGCAAGCTTAATTTAAATTAAGTTTTCTGAAGTATTTAATTGTAATGCTGAAAGAAAAAAAGAAAAACCTAAAAAATACAAAAAGCTACTTGCCCAAGGAAGCATATATAATAAATTAAGTTAAGAAAGGTAAAGGCAATTAAGACATTTCATAAGTTATTTGGATTATAATATAGCAGACCATAATGCATTTTTAAAGGAATTTAAGCTCAATGGAAAATAGGATTTATACAAAGGAAGAAGATACTCACAGAACTTCTGTTTCTGAATAATTTCTTAGGAGCATTTTGCAATCTACAGGCCTTCAAGTAATCCATCCAAACAAATTTATCTTTTCTATAATCTAAAAGAGTATACACTAGTCAAAAATACCAACAAGATATCATCACATATATTTTAATATATTATAATTTCTACTTTTAATCTTCTGCTATATATTCAGTAAGTTCTTAGCGCATCACAAATGATTTATATTAAAATCTCCAAATCATTTTAATGCTGTTTAAATGACTTAAGTTCAAGGTTGTTGAGTGTAATTTCCATAATGTATGTCAGTCCTCACAGATATCTACTTATTAACTTACATGGATTGTAACAGACCATAAAGCAAATATCAAGGGATTTAAGCTCAAGGGGGAAAATATTTATATGAAGAGGGTGCTTACAGAAATTGTTTCTGAATAATTTCTTAGGAACATTTTGAAATCTACAGGCCTCCATCTTACCTCTCATTAAGGCAATTTAAGGAAGGGGAAAAGGGTGAGACAAGAGTCTCCAAGTGGTTGCCATTCCTTAGGAAACCATGTCACAAAGACTATGAGAGGTCCTGATGCCACTTTAATTGGGATAGCCAGATGCTCTGGAGAAATTAAGAACTCATCTATAACCCAAAGGCTACCTGGGGTATAATACCCAGCACTGTCAAAATCCAAAGGCCATTTGGCAGGTCCAACTTTCTATTCCTAATCTTATAAATTACCCAGGAAAAAAATCTTATCTTTCCAGATTGATTAGGTTAGGGCATCAGTACTAGGGACTACTGGAATGTTGCAGGTTCAGTGTCTGATTACCTTATCTTGGGCTAGTTCTAATGCCCAGGAACAGACTTTCCTTGCTCTCTTCTGGATCAGAAATAACACCCATTGACTAATAGATCAAGACCTTTGGAATCTATTAACTCTGAAAGTTATTAGCTTCCACAAACCTGAACGCTAAGAACAGCATCAGCATCTGATAGCATGTTGGGCCTACAGAAAAGCTATCCACATCTTGTGGTAACTGCTCCTGATATACTCAACAATGCATTTTAAGCTTGCCTTGATTTTATGATTTTCTTTGTTCCGTAAAATTATTTTTTAAAAGAAAAACTTCATGAAACTGTTTCCATGTTGAAACATGGTCTTTGGAGTAACATCTGTGTTCCTGGGCTATGTTCACTCAAAATGGCTCAAAATAAACTATCTCTTATCCCCTTTAAGACAGAGGTTCTCAACCTTCCTGATGCTGTGACCCTGAATTACAGTTCCTCATGTTGTGGTGACCTCCAACTGTAAGATTATTTTTGTTTTGTTTTTACTACATGACTGTAATTTTTCTTGTGTTCTGAATCATAATGTAAATACCTGATATGCAGGATATCCAATATGCAACCATCAAAGGGATCTCTCTACCCACAGGTTGAAAATCTCTGTTTTAAGGTGAGAGCTGTGATTTCTAGACTGATATCTAAAGTGGCCCCCAGTTACACAGGATCAGTATTTTCATATTGAATCTACAAGCCCAAATCTTTGTAGAGTTCAAGATTATCTTCATACATTAAGCTTTATTTATTCCGCCAAGGTTCTCCAGTAGTCTCCTCAAGGTTGTTTTCTGGCCAAATACCCTTCCATTCTAGGACGTCAACTCTGGCTTCTGTTCTAGATGGGGGATCCAAGCTACTTTCTCACTTTGTTCATGTGCCTGGGATCCTGTGGCTTCAGAGAACCTATGTCTACAACAGCATCCGAAGGACTATCCCTGGGGCCTTACTCAAACATTCTCTCCTCTGAAGGACAGCCCCATAGAGCCTGAGGCCTTGTGATTTCTGTTGTTCAATACTCATTAAAAGCACATGTTAAGGGTTTCAGAATGCCTATTAGATAAACGAAGCTACCCTCTGTCACCAGCTCAGTGAACTCCAGACTGCCTTCAGCCCCAGGTAGATGCCAAGGGACACCTGAAGGATGGGGAAATGGCACACTAAACCCAAAATGTGCCAGTTATTCAGCAACCTAATGCCCAAGCAGAAAACTATGTGCAACAATTGCTTGTACAAAGAAACTGGACCGCGGCATCTCACAGCCAAAAACGGCCAGCCTTAACTGCCTGGCTTGGGTATCTCACAGGAAACAAAAAACAGACACAAAACTATTTCCCATCAAAAGAAAACTGATTATGGCATTTTATAGTCTCATTCTTTCCATTATTTCCAGATCTGCAGCAAGTTTAGAATAAATCAAGTTTCTTCCCTGTGTGGTATCATTGATAGAGCATGATATTTCATTTCATCCACGATTTTGAACACAATTTTTTGCTATAAAGATTAATACACTTTATATATGATCAGGTGCTCCCAAACTATTATATTTTTCACTATAAATTCCTAACCAGAATACTTGACTTAGAGAGACATACAGACTTTTCTATTACACTCATCTCTAAGGCATTGTCATGGCCTTAGCCTCTTTGTAGATAAAACTTTCATTTGGAAAATCAATTCACACCAAGCTCCCCTGTTAGCATTTCCTGAAATGGTGTTAAAATAAAGCTGGAATAACAAGTGCCCCTCCTTTCAGCTGACAAATGTGCCCTGGCTTACCCCGAGGGATATGAAGTTCGTGCTTGGTCTTTTGACACCATCCCACTGGGTGAATGTCCGGGGAACCAGCATTAGTCCAAAAATCATAGCAGCTTAGATAACCATCAAAATGCAGTCTCAGCCTGTAACCACACACCTGAAACAGGAAGTTCACAGTTGTTCATTTAAGTGTCATGGATTTGAAAAGGGCTCAAAACTGAGAAAACGTTCAAATGTTTAGACGATGCCATCATGACAACCCAATGTATCCATCCAAACATTTTCATCAGAGAACAAATGCATATGCACTATGATATATGATTAAATCACAATGATGATGAACAGCTATCTAAAACTTTCTGCAAATTATATCCAGAATCACATCAAATGTTTCTAACTGACTATTAATTCAGTACCTGCCATATCTTTTTCTTTTAGCAAACATATCTTCTGCTGATGGGCTTACTTTCTACCTCAGGAGAGTAAAGGCTGAGATAAGGAACATTGTTAACACATGAGCCCAGCATATTTAACACAGAAAATAACTAAAGCCTGAGAAATACATCTCCTAGATATTCTGTACAACCCTAAGAGCAATTGTCATGACATAGAACACATAACTGTGTCTTCTAATGTCAATGCTTCTATTGATTTAATAATGTGTTGGATAAACATTACATTTTAAAATCTATTTTCACCAGTGGCAGTTCTCTGTATATAATTTTCACAAAGTAAGTGTATTTATATGAATGTTTTTTTCATAGACAGGGGTTTATATATAGTTCTCATTGGCTCACCTAAAATATGAATAATTATGTAACACTTGGAAACAACACTCTGGGTTCCTTGGATTATTACCAACTTTAGGTAAAATCTACTTTTCAGTTAACTCAAGGATGAATACTAGTTGATGAAAACTTACTAGAAAATTCATCTTAAGAACAAAATTATAAAGAAACATACTTTTATACATTATTGACTAAAATAATGAACTGGGACTCATTTATGACAGAAAGTACTGAAATCTGTTGTATTTTAGAAAATATACACCACGTAATTGGCCCCAGGCAGGACCAGCCTCTCTTACCTCAGCTATAGACAGCACACAGAACACAGACGGACGTCGGGCATCAATGCCTTCCAATCTCATTCCAACCTGAAAGCCATTTTCATGCTCCGGAAAGGATTGATCCTACAAAATAGCATAATACAATATCATCCACTACGAGTTCTCCACAATTTAATATAGAACATTTTGTGTGGAATCTAAAAATAACAGTATTCATAAAAGCAGAATAGAAAAGTAGCTATTAGGAGCTGGGAGGGGGATGAGGGAAAGAAGATGCTACTCAAAGGTTCAAGGCTGTAGTTAAACAGTAAGAATTAACAGTAAATTTTTAAGGTAATGAAAATATCCATTATTGTAAACAGGCAGCTTTTGTGGAAATTTACCAGCCCAAGTAGTCATAGACCTTGTAAATATGTAGCCTTGGCAGACAATACCAACTTAGATAAGGATAAGCAAGTCATAGGCAGAGTCATAGTGACCTGTCCCCTGAACCTTCACCCAGCTGACACCCGGTTCTGAAAGATATCTGTATTCCCCCTGAACACCCACACTCCAGTGTCATCCCCTTCCCCACGTCCTGCCTTTCTATGTTTATAACCCCTGTGTGAATAAATTACGATTTGAGAAAAATAAATAAATTATTTAAAAAAAAAGAAAATATACATAATGTAACACGTGTGTGTGTGTGTGTCTGTGTGTGTGTCTATGTGTATATACATACATACAAACATACATACATGCATACATACATACATACATACATACATATCTTAGTACCATGGTGTGACTAATAATTAAATATGATTATGATTTGTCAAAAGTGAGTGGACAGAAATTTATGAAAGAAATTTACCATGTAGTTTGGAAGCTGAATTTTTAAAGCACAATATTTATAATAATTCTTTGATAACTTTATTCATGCAAATAATGCATTCCTCCCCAATTCACCCCAAATACACCTCCCACCTCATCCTAACTTCATACCCCCTCCTTTCTCTCTTTCTATCTCTTTCTCTCTCTTTCAATGATGTGCTACACACAATGTAGTAGAACTGACTTTCCCTTTAAGACAGTAGCTAAAGTTAGGCAGAGACCAAGCCAGGGTGCACAATAGTAGCAGGGACTGGAGCTCAGAAGTGTGTAGCCCTTGAGCAGAACCTGCTACATCTCTGTAATCATGTAAGTCTGTTGCCCTACCCTGCCGTGGGCCACAGGAAGCACATGAAAGCTGCAGGCACATCAGCCTAGCAAGCTGACCTCTGCATGACATCCAGTCAGGCTTACTACTAGAAATCCCATCTTAAAGGAATTCAAGTTTCCCTCTGCCTTGTACTAGTGAGCAGGGAAATATTTCCAATTGTTTGCAGTGTCAAACCGTTCCCACTGGTATGACTGTATGCTATAAACAACAAACAAGAGGTGACTCTCTCCAGCCACAGTGATTCATGGGGGATGTTGGCCAACAAGATGTGAAAAGAAGGGGACACTAGTAGAAAGAGAACATCCACTCCCACAGGTATAACTATTCCAACAGAGACAGTACTTAAATATTTTAGAGTAGTATTTCTTTTGTTCTGTATTTGCTGATGTACAAGTGTATATGCAGGCATATGTGCTTCTGTGTGTGTGAGTGTATACATGTGTGCATCTCAGTGTGGGGTGTCTGTGTAGTATGGTATGTGTGTATGTATGTGTCTGTGTCAGTGTGGTGTGTGTATATGTCTTTGTGTTTGTCTGTTTGTGTGTTTCTCTTTGTGTATGTGTGTAGTGCTTATGTCTATGTGCTGTGTGTGTGTGTCTGTGTGCATGGTGTCTGTCTTTTGTGGTATGTGTGTGGTATCTGTGTCAGTTTAGTGTATGTGTGTCATGTGTGTCTGTGTGTATGGTGTCTATATCTGTGTGGTATGTGTGTGTGTTATCTATGTTTGTGGTGTGTATGTGTGTGAGTGTGGTGTCTGTCTATATGGTATATGTGTATGTGTATGTGTGTGTATGTCTGGGTGAGGTATGTATGAATGTGTGATATGTATGTGTGGTCTGTGTGATGTGTGTGTGTGGTGTCTATGTCTTTGGAGTACGTATGTGTCTGTGTGTGAGTCTATGTGGGTGTCTGTGTGTGGTGTCTGTGTAGTATGTATGTATGTGTATGTGGTGTCTGTGGTGTGTGTGTGTGTGTGTGTGTGTGTCTGTGTGTCTGTGTGTCTGTGTGTCTGTGTGTCTGTGTCTGTGTCTGTGTCTGTGTCCGTGTCTATGTGTGGTGTCAGAGTCTCTTTTCTCAGACCTGTCTTTTTGATTTCCTGGATGGAGTTTTGTGCAATTTGCTCGCATTTTGGTTTTTCCTGTCCCCTCTTCTTTTCACTCTTGTCTATAACCACACCCTTTGTTTTGTGCCTTACATCATTTCCAGCTGTCATTATCTTCTCTCTTGTTTCCTCGCATTTTTTTAGAAATCATCTTTTAAAACATTTTCGTGTAGGCTGACTCCTGCGCCGACCTCTGCTGCAGTCATTCTCAGAGCTGCACATGGTTTTATTTTATTTCTGAATTGAGTTCACTGTTAGTTGCTTCTCTCACCTTTTATCCACCTCCTGACCAGTTCTCAGTATCTGTGTTGATGCTCTGCCACCAAGAGTGGGGAGGAGGACGATATTTTCATCCTAGCTTAGAGTCAGCATGTATTGCTCAACACTATTGCCCCAACTCAAAGTTCAAATGATACTATAACTCAAAAAAGAGCAGAGATTTAAAAACCTTGAGTCAAAAACCAATATCCAAGAAGGCTGTTATAACAGGCCAGAAGACCTACCTTGTAGCAGGATATTTATTCTGCTACATTGTATTCTCAGTAGAGTTCTGTGATTCCGCAGTAGAAGAGAAAGTGGAGCTGGGAGAGAAAGAAAGGAAGGGGAGGGGAGAAAAAGAGGAAGGGGAGGAGAAGAAGGAGGCTAGCAACCATGGAGAACCACAGATGGGTCTAAAGCTGTCCTGGGTAGCAACTTCTATCAAAAGGTTAGATATTGGGTAGCAACTCTAATTGTGTGGCATCTTGTTGATTGAACATTTCTAAATATATAAATCCTTTAGATAATCATTAAGCTTTAAGAGTCTCGTTTCTACCGGGTACTGCAAGGATAGCAGATATCGTCTGGGGTTCAGCCGAGCTTTGTGGATGCAGCGTGGTGGATTGGCAGAGCCATCCCCCACGCTGGCATCTTATGGGTGCCAGGGCTTGTGCATCTAGCTAGCCGGAGCCCGAGTCAGAGCCAAGGAACAGTGTGAACATGATGGCTGCCCGAGAACATGCCGGATCAGGTGCAGTTTTCTAAATATCACCCCTACACTACTCAGCTACAGCAGAGATAAAAATAAAAGGGCTGTGAACACTGCAATGATAAAGGGCCACACTATGTGTTATGTTACCCACACCATTTCAGACCCTACACTGTTAATAAGTCTAAGAATGATTGCAGATGGTGCTCCCTACAAATGCAACCAGGTACAATTGTCCTGATTGTTCAAGGCCTCAAAAAAAAAAAATTCGGGAACTTCGTGTTCAAATACATTATTCACTGTCAGCAGACACTAACCCCACCACCAAAGAAGTCAAATGGAAACCTCACCAAAGAATCCAGTTGGAAATACATTCAACTCTTTACTACAATCGGATATCCCTGATTATACTGCCAAAAAAAAAATGGCAGAAAATATATTCAGTGATACAATACCATCAAACTTGCCCTTTTTGGGATAAATATATGGATGCCCAGGTACAAGGATTGTTTATAAACCCAGGCAATTGGCCATAAAAGATGCCTTTTGCTATATATTTTAGATAAAATGTCAACAGTAAAGAACTAAGAAAGAATACTGAAGCTTCAGGAGAAAGTATCAACTGGCTTATCAAGGCGAACAACATCTGAATAATAGAAAATGTGTCCACAGAAACTCTGAAGCCTAGTGATTGTAGATGTCAATTATTATATTTAGATTATACTATGCAGGTGTCAATTACAATATCCTAGATCATAATATTCAGGACAATTATGCTTCATACTGTAAGCAAGGGAAGTCAGTACAAGCTAAAGAGATTCATGACCAATGTGGTATTGCAGAAGAAACCTAAAGGCACATTCAACCCAACATAGCAAGGTAAACACAAGATCAAGAATCAAGAAATTAATAAGTTCTGCTAGAACACTGAACAAGCAAATTATAATTAATCAGGAAGTCACTAAATATCAATTTTTAATGTCCCAAGAACTAGCACACTCCTCTCTGTTATACCAATGGATTTAAATGGCCCTAATTTGCCAAATAAAAGAGCTATATTGGATAATAGAATTATAACTAAATATTCTATTTCCAACCGGTAAGAAACACACTGCTCCATTAAGTACTGTCTGAAAATAAAAAGTTGAAAACAGTATTCCAAATGAAAGAAACTTGGGTAAAACAGGTGCAGCTACCTATACTCACCTCTTAAAGCAGATTTCAAGTGATAAAACCAATGAAAGTTGTTACATGTTGATAAAAGGAACAACACACCCAGCAGACATGTGTATATTGAATATCTGTCTGTACACCGAATTTCATAAGAAAGATCCTAAGGGAAACCAGAAACACAGAAGCCCTAATACAAGCATAGTGAATGTTTGCATCACCCTGCACTCACCAAACGGTCTTGCAGCTCCAAGAAATTAATAATCATTTCACACTAAACTGTACCATAGTTGAAATGAATTTAATAGACATCTACACAATGTCCTACCCAAAACTGCAGTATATGCATTCCTTTCAGCTGCTCATAGAACTTTCTCCAAAATAGAATATATTTTAGGCAAAAAGCCAAGTCATTACAAAAGAAAAAAAAAGAAAAAAAGAATCAAAACAATTGCTCAAAGCTCATTAGATCATAAAGAAATGGAGTAAGACATCAAAGGCAAGATAAAGGACAGAGAGTTGACAAAAATCTGAGGTTGAGCAATGACCTTGCAATGATTGGTGATTCATTGAAGAAATCAGGGAAATGGCAATGTCCTGGGATCCAACGAAGAGGAAACATGAGAATCTGTGAGACGTAGCAAGGGAATTAAAAAGGGCATTTATAGCCACAAGAGATCTCA